GTTCTGGACAAACAGAAACAAGAACTTGCTGATGAATGTGACCATGAAGAAGCACACTTCACTTAAATCCTTTGATGCATCTAAAGATGATTTGAAAATGATGACATTTATCTGCAGCAGGAGCACAAAGCAGTGGCAGAACTTCTGCTAGCAGCCAATGCTTCTGCAGCTGCAGATGCTACCGATTATGGAGCAGTTTAGTATCTTTACTTTATGTTTGATTCCCCAGTAAGACTCAACATTATSATCATTAAATCTTTTAACAATGTTCCACCAACACTGTGGTGTAAACATCAGTGGTGGGCAGCRCTAATTCAAAATTTAGTTGTGCAATTTCTAAAGCTCTAGTCAATTTATTTAGGTCTGCAAGTTCAAAAGCGCACATGCTCAAAAAATGTAGTGAGTTATGCGTGTGCACGTATAAATGTGCACTCACCTGAGTGGCACTCATTTTGAGAGTCAGGTTAGGTGCCGTATTTTTTGTTGACCACACTGTGTCACGTTACTGGATTTTACATTTTTTGTCAGTTTTAGCCAGCGGTCAATCCACCATTTCCTTTTTCTTTACTGTGTTTTATTGCATTAATGCCACCAAACACGTCTTGTTTGCAATAACCTGGTTTTGCGTGTCACATATGCGAGCCACAGCAATGATTCCTAACCAGGGGTACGTGTACCTTGTGGTATGCAAGAATATTACAGGGGGTACGTGGAAAAATTTCCCATGTGTGTAAAAAATAAATTAAAAATAGGACTGAGGTATGTAGGGCCCCACGATTTCCACAATGCAGGTCCTGAAACATTCCAGCACTTTCAGGACCTTGGACAGTTACTTCAGTCCTTCACACTGTCCAGTGTCCTGAAACGTTACAGCACTTTCAGGACTTTGGACAGTTCTATCAGCCCTTCACACTGTCTAAAGCAGGGATTCCCAACCAGGAAGAATATTACATGGGGTACATGGAACAATTTCCCAGGTGCGTAAAAAATACGACTGAGATATGTAGGGCCCTATGATTTCCACAGTGCGGACATTGCAGATGGAATCACGGAATTAGCACAAAATGGAATCCAGTATAAAACGTGGAATCTCACAGAATTTGCTCATTTTGGTGAGTTTCTGAAGTTTTTTGGACAATACAATGTATTTTGGACGCTGCTGTTTTCTGTACCTGCCATTACCTGCTTTATTTATTTAATTACTTATTCACTATGTTTGAGTTGAAAAAAAAATTAAACTTCTCAGGTATTTTCATGTACCATAGGGTCCACTCTTTCAAAAAAAAAAAAAAAAAAAGCACGTTATCAGAAAAAAATTTGGGTCTCACTGCACCCCAGGGATCGCTTTGGCCACACCCCTTTTCAATTGTGACCATCAAAGTTAGGTTTATTCAGGAAACTTAACTGCCAATAACTTTGCTATAAACCAACCAAATTTTATAAACAAGGTATCAGCAGATTCATATTGATTAGCTCTGTAATTTAAATTACATTTTATGTCATCAGAGGGTTAAAATGTCACTACGCCAACAAAATATGACAATTTTCATCTTGTTAGTCTGTGGATTAGGGTGGGTCACAATGCACACCCCATGACTGAACTTCTCTGGTATTTTCATGTACCCTAGGGTCAACTCTTTAAAAAAAGGCATGTTAACAAAAAAATTTGGGTCTCACTGCCCCACAGGGACCGCTTTGACCACACACCTTTTCCATTGTGACCATCAAAGGTAGGGGTACAGGGACCTTAACTGTCAATTACTTTACTATAAACCAACCAAGTTTTACAAACAAGGTATCAGCAAATTTTTTATTCATTAGCTCTTTGATTTAAATTACATTTCATTAAACAAATATGCAAATATATCATCAGAGGGTCAAATTGTCACAACCCAGCAGAAGATGAAAATTTTCATCTTTTATCTGAGTTTACCGCACAGATCCTAAATATTCAACTTTCTTATCCTTTTCATGCACCTAAGGATCCACTTATTCAGAAAAACGTTTAACAAAATTAATATTGTAGGTACTACTCAACAGGGACCAGTTTTTGACCACACCACAACTCATTGTGTGCACAGTTCAGAATTTTTAGGGTCTCAAACTTGCATGTGGATTCACTATGGCAGAATAAAATGTCATAAATCTGGTGTTAAATGATAGATATTGACGTGGTCTCTCACTTAGATGTGCTTTCGTTGATTATTTATACAAGAGATCATGTTACCAGCCAGGAGTTAAAAGTAACACACAAGACTTGAACTTATCACTAACAGAAGAGTGGATCATCTCCTTCTCATTTGTCTCCAAACTTACCAAATGCCTCTTAGTAAGCCTCACTGTTTTGAAAGATCTTCATGCTTTTATTGCTTAAAGCAAACAAAAGACTGGAAATTGTTCCTATCAAAAAAGGATAATTTAAAAAAATTAATGGACCAAGGTGGTCAGAACACGTGTCAGTAATGGTATGTGGCTACAACTAAGGACAATTTAATTGCTGCATACATGTTACAGGGCTAACTCAGTCCTTCTCACCAAAAATGTGTTCTGCTCTGCTAGGTCTACATGCCTACACAAAATGTGACAGTACAAGTGCCTTTAAGGAAAAAGGGAAAGTGAAAGGCATGAAGCTCCTTCAGAACAATGCTTGCTCCCCCGCCAAGACCAATTTCCCCGGGGAAACACAGCTAGAGTACATGAAAACACTAGAGAAGTTCAGTTATGTGAGTGTGTGTGTGTGTGT